GGGGGAGGGACGGGCCGTGCGCCAGAAGCGGCAGGGAAGGAAGCCCCCAGTCCTCCACCCACCATAAGCATTCCCCAAAACAATTTAAAAAACTCCATTTCCAGCTTATTTGAAGCTCAGCATTTCGGTGTCGTGAGGCCAAATGCAGTGCAGGTGCCTGACCGTTCCATCCTGGCTCTGCATCAGCTTCCAGTCCCAACCAACACTGACTAGATTTCAGCTACTTCCATTATTTTTACTGCCCCTGCTAAGAAAAATGAACAAATGAACACGAGATTTCCTTAAAACTCAGATGCAATTATCTAAAGCTGATGGGGTAGAAAGAAAAAGGACGCATCTCCAACTGAAGATCCACCTAGCCAAGGCCGCTGCATCTAATCGTGACCAGTGCAAGATGATTAGGGACAGGATTTAGAACAAGGACAGGGAAAAAAACCCCACCTCTCCCCCAACCATGCCCCCTTCCTCCGAGCCCCCAACCATCTGCAGCACGGGGTTGTTACAGAAATTATTTTAAAGTAGGAATTAACCCTTTAATCCCAAGGCTAAACCAACAGGACACAAATCACTCGGGCATCCTCTGCTCAAGACCACGTAATTTGGTAAGTTTTTCCCCCTGTGAAGCGCTGCCTCCGTTCGCAGCCGGGCAGGAGGCAGCTCCCGTAGCACGGGCAGCCGCCGTCCCAAGGCCCGTCAGCTGAAATTCGAGTGAGCAGCTTCGGCACAGCAGGATCCAGCCTGCTGGGCAAGAGCCTGACCTGCACCCATCCCCGTTTTATCAGGCCGACGTTCACCTGAGCGGGAATCAAGCTCCTACTTCTCCTCAGGGGCATCTTTACGGCCAGGCAGCGGCTCAGCCAACCTGTCTGCAACAGAAACCGAAAGCATGGTCTGCAAGAAGTGCTGTTTCCTTAAGTTTACCTGAAACTGTGAAGAAAAAGAAGAGGGCAAGGTAACGGCAACACACATGGTTTATTTTGGAACAATTCTGCTGCCTCCTAGGCAGGGGGATGCTCACCAAAGCAAGCTTTTTGTGGTTTTGTTGGAGGGGGGATAGGGAGGAGAACAGAAGACAAAAGGACAAGGTTACTTGTAAATGCCAAGATTAAAGCCAGGGACTAGCGCTGTACCAGAAGATTAAGTTAAAGGAGCAACAACAAGGCGCGTGCAGCAAGTTTAATTGTTAACAAAACCTTTCTGTTCTGGATTATTAAAGGAGATTTTCACCCCAATGTTTTTGTGAGCAAGATTCAGTGCAGATTGTTGTCGTGCTGCAATCACCAGGACCCATCCCGACAGGACCACCTCGTTCCACCTGACAGGGACAGAAGAGACACGGAGGCAAACTCCTCCTGCTGCTGCTGGGAAAACTTGTCTTGCTTTTAGTTCCCTTATAAGGCTGTTCTAGGAACAAAGGACCCCACTGTTACCTACATAGTTTAGGTCTCCAAGACACAGAAACCAGTGAAACTGCCTGAGAGGGAAGCAGGAACAGAGCAAGGTTTCCCTCAACGTGCTGAACCCGAGCAGGTACAGCGCAGCCCTTGTCCAAAGTGAGTGTCTGTAGGGGGTAGGTACAGCCTGCACGCTCCGCAGCCCCTTCCGCCTCTTTCCTCACCCACATCAACTCCTGCTGTTCTTGTCCTGACCCTCTCCTGGGCATCCGTTCATCTCCAATGGAAAAAAAAAAAATTAAAATCTCATTAAGTGGACAAATCCCAAACTTACTTTCATGAAGAATTAAAATCTACTTTCTTTGCATGCAGAAGAGACTAGGACTAGTCAGTCTGCTGAGACTATTCAGTTTGTTCACTGACCACAAGCTTGTTATTTTTGTCACTCTCCTTCAACTGCTTGCATGTCATTTGCATTGTTTAAAGTCAAAACAAGATCACCTCAACTTGCAGCTACAGTACTTCTCATTTCATACATCACCAGTCATGCTGGAATCACAACTTTGCATGTTATTTTGTCAATGTGCAAGAAGCAGAAGAGAAACCAGCTTACTCTTCTGAAATGACATTGGCTCTGCAGTGCTGACAGCAGGAAAAAACATCAGTCAAGTTCACAGATATGACTCAGGATAAACAGAATTCCTGTTTCAGCCTCATTTCTGACCGTGCAGCCACACTAGCCCACGGGACACCAACCCACGCGATGGTGTTCGAGCTCCTCCACCAACTACAAACGCGCCCGTTCCTGGCGCACACCCCCGCCCCGGCTCATCGCGGTCGGCACCGGCCCCGTTGGCACAACACGATTCCCTCTCGCAAAGTCCCTCAACTTTTCAGGTGTTTAATAGAAATTGGCTTCTTCTACAATTCTTTTCCCTTTCCTTCCCCTTCCAAACTCGGTCCTGGTTAGTTCCTCAGACCTTGGCTACCGTCTCTATCGGATGACACAAGATCTACTCACGATCAGCGCTGGCTCAGCTGCCCTACCCCTAGCCCTGACAGCAGAGGAGAAGGCTGAGAGCAAGGGTTTGGTTAGAGACACACGGGGCTGTTAGAGACACACGAACTCCGCTGTTCCCTCGGGGGGTTCAGGTCCTTTGAAAGCAGCACCGCCCTTTCAGGCTTCCCACAGAACACAAGATCAGGACGTGACTTTCACATTGACATTTTTATTAACGCCAACTGTTTTAAATTTTTTTTTTTTTTTTTTTTTAAACAATAGCACAAAAATGTTTCAGGGAAGCAGTCTGACAGTTAGTCTGATGACCTTCTGAAATACAGTTAAGCCACACCAAATATGAATTCCTGCTAAAGAAAAAAAAAAATAAAAATAATAATAATGGAACTCCAACCTTTGTATTAGAGGGTGTTGTGTCTGGTTAGTAGACCACGCTGCTTTGTGAAGGAAACGATGGCACACAGCTTAGACTTCATCATCACGCCAGTCATCACTAATTTAAGGCTTCTGAATCAAATTACCATCAACATCACAGAAAGGAACGAAAAAGCTAGTGTTGCTACGGCCGTGAGGAGCTTGAACAAGCTGGATCTTTTAGACAAGTAACGGTGTCTTGAACAGAAGAGACCTGCCCTAACAGCAGCCAGGAGAACCAGTCACACAGTAGTTATCTCCTCATTTGCATGCATTTTGAGGGTGCAATTTAGTAAGGAAAAAAAAAATAATAAATTGCATGAATCTTTCTCTTATTTAATGTGGCTATGAGAGATGTTTCCTTACAATTCCGTTATCTCTAAGAAGGACATCAGCAAGTGGAACCAAGGAGAAAAACCGAAGAGCAACAGAACATTTTTCTTTTTGCTGAGAGGTAACACAAAAGGGAGGGAACCTACTATCCTCGGATTGGGGGGGGGGGTTTGCGGGAACATCTCCCCAAAACCTCGCACTTAGAATGATGCACAGACTCTATGTTATATCAGCTACCTGCCTTTCCGAGTGACCTGTTCCACACAACGCTCAGAGGCATTAACCCATTCCTGCCCCAGACTCTCCACAAAATTTCACTGACCTAGAAACCACTGGTTTCCTTTTCTTGGGGAGGGCCGGGGGAGGGTGTAAAAAACAGAACATCTGTCAATAAGAGTGTCAGGAGAGGGGTGTTAAATATTTTAACCACTGACAAGGCTTGAGGAAGTTTCACAGTTTTGTTATGCTCTATTTTATTACTATCATATTTACAGATTTTTCTTTCTTTCTTTCTCTTTTTTTTTTTTTGCTGAATTGCTGATAATTTTAATAGAATTTAAATCTGGAGTGTGAGCAGGAACCAGTTAACTACATTCATTGTCCAATCCCCATTGGTTTGAGAAAAAGACTCCAAATTCTTGGCATATGAATCAGCTGTTGGGTAGCTCCTCCCTCTCCCCATGAGGCGGCAGCAGGACTGCAGCAGTGGCATGCACGGATTCACACCATGGCTGGCGGGGCCTTGCGCTGCAGGAAATATTGGTGGATGTTCTCGGCGTCCCGCTTCAGCCAAGCGGCGTTCAATATTTTCACAGCACTGCTGGACAGTGCGTTCTGCCGACGGAGCCGGGTGGCTCTCAAAGAAGGCCTGCGTGAAAAGCACACAACCATCCATAAGGGGACAAACAGGCACAGGCACGATCGTATTTTTACGTGGCCGAATCCCCTCGGTTATAGAGATGCTCTTGTGAATTTGTTCCTTCTCTGACCACACCTCAGGCCATCTGCTCCCCGCCCCCCCCCGACCACAGGCAGGTCGCAGGGCGCTCGCCGAGCGCGCGAGGCAGGGAATCCCGGAGCGGGAACTGCAAAGCGCCGCCTTTTCTCGGCTGAAAGGAACCCAGGGCAGAGCCCAAACGCTGCCTCCTGCCCCGCCTTGCTCCTGCTGCCAGGGACGGCGAGCGGCACCCGAAGAGATTCGGTCAGTCCCTCGTTGGGAGGCAGCAAAGGAGCAGCAAACCAAGGGTGTGTTTCTGGACGCTCGGAAGACGACACTAACGGAAGCCCAAGGCCGTTTTGCAAAAGCATTTGTCTTGCTCGCAGACCCCTCAGCGTTCTACCTAGGCCTCTCTCCGAGCTGCGCAATGACCTCCGAGCAGCAGCAGCACTCAAGAGTTTGGCTGAACAGTCTCCCATTTCTTCCTCCAGAATCAACACTATCGATCCCCGGCGAAGAGCTGAAGAAACTGCACCAGCGGCTGCTGTGACTTTGCACTTTACAACTGGTTAAGGGGTGGAGTAAGCTGGCATAGCCCGGCGTCATCCCCACCTTCCTGCGAGCAGGCTTTTCCCGGCATTTGGCAGATCACCTCAGGCTAATGTACACCACAAGGTGACATCAAGACTCGGACACATTAACTACTCCCGCTAAAAGCCAGGTAGACTGTCCCAGGAAGTTCTCTTGGAAAGTATTTATGATTTAGTTATGGATGATGGTTCTGGTATATGTTTTCTTTAAGAAAAAAATTAACTATAGTGCAAGACTTCTCTGTAAAATCATTTAGGCTACTAAATTTTTTCTAAGAAGAGATCACTAGGTGATAAAAAAAGGGAAGATAGGGCTCATGCTCAGCTTAGCTTTGAAGTAAGAATTCCTCCTGAGCATTTTCCTAACAGGAAAGTGATAATTAAGGGCCATATATTTCAGTTTCTTCTTCCTGTGAAAGTGCGGGCAAAAAGTAAACAATAAAACCTAAACATATTCTCAAAACCCTGCCAAGACCGGGCCAAGTCGGAGGGGTGCTCGAGTCCCCTAATGACATCACATCACCTTCAGCCACCAACTTCAAGGCAGACTCTCAAACCCATTAATCTCCTCGTGCCAAAGCCTTGCTCTTGGTGCACAGCACCAAGGACTGCAGGAAACTTGGAGCTGGAGGATGGAATTGAGCCAGTTTCTGCCGCGGGAATACCCCCAGGAGTCCCTGGGCGCTACTGCGGGCAGCCCCAACCATGCCCTATCAGTCCGAGGAGGAACAAAGCGCTGGCGTAAGCCTCAGCTTACTGTGGAAGCTGTAACTACTACAAATTTTTCTACAATTATCTTCAGAGGTTGTCTTTTGGAGAGCCTCGAAACCACTGCCACAAAGTGTGCTGGATTTTATGAAAGTTTAAACGAGTGAAACTAACAGAAATCACTAGAAGTTGCACATTACTTCTAGGGAAATGCTAATTTTAGACGTTTCAGTAAAATAACTCAACCTAAAGCAGAGCCATTCGGGCACTAGGCAGCAGTCAAATAGCCACAGGCAGAGCCACAGTTCAAAAACTGCACCGAAACTCACGGCTCTTCCAGCAGGTGCTTACAGTCTAGAGCACACAATGTTTGTCATAGAAGAAGTTAATCACTTCTTTAATTACAATTTCTTACCTTAACTTCTGCGGCCATTTTATCGTTTGCAAATCCGTCCACTGTTAGCTGAAGGGAAAAAAAAAACATTAACCAAGGGTAAGCATTTGGCATCCCACATGTAACAGTTCAGGTTTGGTCATGGATGTGAACAGGACTCTTCTCACCGCTGCACATACCTTTATTAGTCTGGATATTAAGAATCCACCTTGGTATCGATTATAAAGTTCCTCCCAATTGTCCCTTACAAATTTCCAAGCAGCTTTCCTCCCCTGCTTGCTGCCTCCAGCCACTCCACCAATAACAGATACCGTGTCCTGGGGACGTACCTCTTCCTGAAGAGGAAAAGGTGGACAAGGATTCAAGACTTTCACCAAACACAACACGTTGGCTTTAAACATTTCTATGCTGCCTTGGCTTTAGGCAGTTCTACACCGAATCTGTCAATGACGGGTTCCCCCCAACACCAAACTTTGAAGATCAACTCCAAGATTTTAAGATTACTGCCCCTACTCCAGCGCCTTGCGTGCGCACAGCGCTCTGAACTGCAGCAGCTCTTCCAATAACTTACTGAAAGTGCAAAGGTGAGAACTTTTTGAATCAGTTCTGGTTGAGAGATGGCTCCAAGGACGCGTTCAATTCGGTTCTTCTCCTCCTGCATGTCTGCTTGCTTGTGAAGCTTCAAAGCCAAAGTGAATAACATTAGCACAGGGTGTTGAATGCCAACCTCTTACCCAGCGCTACTGAACTCGCTCTGCAGAGCTGCTGGATTAGTCTTCAAGCCTAATATGTGACAAATTAAACTTGCTCATGCATCACCCTGCAGCTATCCACATTACGGACCTCATTACATACACCCCAGCAGAAATTACTGTTAGTAATAAACTGATCTTCACCGCTGTTTATATAAGGTCAAGTAGGACCGTGCCTCCAAGCAATGAAAAATAATCCTAAAACGAGATGCAGCAATCCACTAGGTGGCAATTTCACACTGCACGCGGGCTGAGGAACGCCAGAACGAAGCCCCAGCGTTGGCATCGTCCATAAAACACCGGATTTGAGCCCGTGTGCAGACAGACTGCGTCTTAGAGGAAACTTGGGAGGGTGGAATGGTTAGTTTTTCTTCGCATAAGCTGTCAGTGTTAACAGCAGAGCGTGCACTCACCTTCAGCATAGTGTCTAAAGTAGTACTATCTCCGTGCTTCAAAATAGTTACATATACCTAAGACAGAGCATAAACAAGGTCCTTCAAAAGCCACACTTTCAGAAAGGCAACAGTCAATTTCTACATATTCGGGGTGGGTTTCAGACAAGCGAACAGATCTGGAAGATACCGGCACTGAGCCCTTCTACCGTGTAAGACTGGATTTGAAAGATGCATCAACGCCTTTAGCTCTTCTTCAATTTCATCCCAATTTGGGTAACGTCAACCAGAACGAGAAGTCTTTGGGCCACACAACACCTAGCTAGCAAGTACCTCACGAAGGCTCGACCCACGTCCACCACAGTAAGACTTTGTGCTCTGCAGGGCCAAGCTGACATCGGCAGAGCTCTCCCACGATCCCTGCAGTGCTTTTAACCCTGGAGGACGTAGGTGGGTCACGGATGGATGTAAACGAGTAGGAGTCAGCTCGGGTTCGACACTGCACTCGAGCAGCCTCCAAAACCCAAAAAGCAACTCACTCTAGAGACCAGAGCTGGTCTGTGGCAGTCAGTGCGAGCACAGCTGAGCTTAGCAGTTATGACTAAGCGTCGGCCACAACAGACGAGGCTTACTCGAGTCAAGAAGCACGGGGATGTTTGTACCGTGCCCCCCCGTACAGTTTTCTTCATAACTGGACTTATCCAAGCTCCCGCCACCTCTGCCAAAACCAGTTGGTCTCATACCTCGACACTGGTTTCCTCTAGCTTCCCTATTCTTGGAAACACAAGAGTTCAGTGCTCACAGTGCTGAGTGAGCGGGGGCGGACTTTTGGGAAACAGAATTTACAATAACCTACAGGACTCCTCAGATCAGCTGACAGCACATGTTTGCCTTCCACGTGGTCCTTAAATCGGCGTCGGGCTTCTTCTAATGTTGCCTTGTGCCCAGCTTTTCCTAGTTTGCCCAAGACCAGACCTCTCAGAAGGGCATCTAGATGACCTAATGAGTGAGTAGGAGGGAAAAAAAAATTATTATTTGGAGATACAATTGAGCAATTAAGTGTTCTTCCATCTAGAGTGATCAGGGCGGAGCTGTATAACAATCCTTCCACGTGCTTGAGGATATCTAAAGAAACTAGGCCTTTTCTTACTCTCCTTGGTGCCAACTGGAGAACACGTTGATGTTTTTATGGCAAGAGGGTCAGGAGAAGACGATTCTGGCCCAAACACAACAGGCTCGGCCTGTAACTTGAGTTAAGTCAGTAATATTAACCATTTGCATCTGCCACAGGACTGACTAGGACAAGTAAACAGGCACGTCCACGGCTTTCCATCCTCGTAGTCTACTAAGTTCCATGCACTCCAACAGATGCAAAGCTCAAGCAGAAAGTTTTTATCAGTCAGTGACCAGGTAGGGAAAAGTTTTACCATTTTAAGTCGTGCCTGACAACAAAGGGTTGTTCTGGGTTTTGTGTTTGTCTGCCTGGTTTTAAGTACAAAACCACCCCTAAAAGCTTACTTCAGACTCCTCTTCCTCCCTTCTGTCCCCTTCCCCAGCTTCTTTACACATCAGTTTTCCAAAACCACTAATGGATTTCACAGCATAAGTTTCCTACCCTCTCCAGGTTTGGGGTCCCATCCCAGTCTCTCCCCTATTGGTGAAAAGACATCTTTCACGAACACCTGGATTTCCTCATAGAAGTCTGTGTGGGACAAGAGAGTTGAGAGAATCCCCAGGTTACAGCTGAGGTCGCTCCACACAGTATAATTGGGCTCATTCACAAAAGCTTCCATGACTTTTAGAACCTCTACAGTGCTAATGATTCCAGCTCGGGCCTGGGAGAGGAAAAGACACAGATTAATCTTACTTCCAAACCGAATTAAGACATTTAATAGCTCATCACATTATTCTACAGCGTTCCCTGTTCAGTTTGCACAGCCTGCATATAAACTCTGTTCTCTCTGTTGTGGGGTTCTGCCAAGGTGAGTTAACACCAGTGGAAGCACCTTAGCTGTCTGCTAACGGCACACAATGCTTTTTATACACAGGTAAGCACTTCACAAGGAGACAGCTACGTAATTGTAAGCACATTTTGCAAGCAAGAAACAGACAAGGAGATCAAGTGACTTAACAAAACGGCAGCACTGCTGGCAAGAAAAAGCAAACCCCCAGAGTTATTCTCAGCCAGATAAAATACCCACCAAAATCTTATTTTAACTAAAAATGGTGAAGATTTAGAGATTTAGTTTTTGCTTTCCATTAAATTGAGAGTGTAAAACCACAGAAGACATTTTTGCCTCCCGCTTCCCGTGCATTAGTACAAGAAGTATGGCCTTTCCACCTCTGCCAGGAAAATTTTACATTAACTGCTTCACAGAGTCCTGAAAACACTTCTGTGCTTAGTGCAGTTGCTAATACCTACAGTAGGTATCTCCAACCAGATTGCTCAGATTTTTGTTAATCTGGAACCAGACCAGTAATTTAAGGTACCGGAAAAGAGGTGAAGATCAATTTTTATTACCTAAGCTATATTCACCTATGAGGAAAAACATGATTAAAACTGAAACCAAAATAAACACAATGTTCCTATGGGTCTTAGTTGCTCAGTTTTTTGGTCTCATTAGTCTTGCACTATTTGGGAAATGACTCAGGCTACAGTTTGAAACCCCTTCAACCAAGCCGTGACAAGAGTCACAAGCTTTGAAGCTACAGGCACAGGGTATCAACCCCACGGTCCCGAAAGTTTCGATATACTTGTGGACTAGCAAGAATAAGAAAGTAAAATCTGAAATACAGAGCACAGTAACTAATTGTTCAGAGGTACCAACACCTGCTTTGGGGGTAATCCCTCGCTTTTAAACAGCAAGAATCCCCAACAGCCACCTCCCCCAGCGGAGGACAGCGATAACAAGCCCCACTGAATAAAGCACACGGTGCTGACAGTAGTGGATAAAGTCATCGAGGGGATCATCAAAATCTCCTTATTTTGACAACTTAAAGGAAGGCAAGTTCTCAAAACCATTCTGTGAAAAACACTACAGTACAACACACCCCTACAGAGAACAGTGCAGCAGGAGGTATGGACAGCCTGCTCCATAGCCTCTAAGTCTTATCCACAAGTTAGAACTCGTCCAGCTAATTAATAGCTGGATGTATGCAGTAATCCCAAAGGCACTTTGCCTCCAGAAACTGAGACTGACTCTTCAGACACCGATTTCTGCAGTTACTGCAGCCCTCATTATTAGACAGAGCAGCAAAGGGTTGCTTACCAGAGAGAAAAGATCATTCTGCAGGCCAAGCCTGTCCACAGGGGGTAGGGAGAGGTCTTTGATCGCTGGTATTAAACTCTCCAGCATGTCAGGGCTATACTGAGTGCGGTAAAACCCCACTGTTCCAAGGTTTAACTGAAAAGCACCAAAAGAGTAAAAGATTAAAAGTAAGGAACAAATAAGGAAATGCTTTTTTTATTTTTAGGACCGCTAGAAATTTCTCAAAGCATTGCGGCTTAGAGAAGGCGGTCACTATCATTTAAATAAAAAGAAAAAACAAGTCATAAGGGAGAAAGGCTACAGATTTCAAAGAAGAAATGCTCACTAAGAGGTACAGAAGATGAGAGAGAGCTGGCACAAGGGAACAGGCTAGAGTTAAAACGAGGAGCAAGGAGAAGAGAGAAACTTATCTTCTAGGGGTAAATCCTAAATTAGGTGTAAATCCTGAATTAAGTGTAGTCACGCACCAAGGAGACTGCAGGTGCTAGAATCTTAACTTTTGTGACCTCTCCCCCACAATCTGCTCCATTAATTTGTGACAGAACTATTTTCTTAAGAAAGAGCAAGCGCCTCCGCCCGGCGCAGTCGCAAGTCACGGTCGGTAAGCTTGATGATCTACACCAGCTACTCGCGACGAGCTACCAACATTTTCGTGTAGATGGTCAAATATTGTGGTTGGTTGAACAACAGCACCCGACATAAACCAAAAACGTTGCTGAGCTCATCAGGAAGTCACTCCCTTTGCTGCTGCCCTGATTTGGGTCAGTCCAATTGCCAGCCCTCAGGACTACGGCACTAACTGAAAACCTCACAGACTGAGAACCTTCGCAGCCAGCAGTCCCGTGAATTCACCTTGGGCTGCGCTCGACTGTTGCCTTCTCGGGCAGAAATCTCCAACTTTACCCTCATTTAGACAGGGCATTTTCAGAATTGTTCGTTTCGTGCCCCTCTGTTACCAGGGAGGACCTAGATATGGTGAGTCAAGAGAAGGCCTGACAGCTGGAATGCCCGTGTTAGTTAAATGGGAAGGTTTGATTAACATTCAGAGAGACTAACGAATATTCAGAGAGACTAACCCTTCATGTTCTTTCACAGTCACCTCTCAGAATACAGCTCCAGCTTAGAAACAATTACTTTTCAACCTCAGTAGCTTGTACAGCAAGAGACCCAGCCAGTTGCTGTCTTTCAGTTTTTAAATTCAGTTTGACTGTTGTCTGCAACAGACCTCAACAGCGATTTTTTTCTTCACTTACAGATTTGTCCTTGTCTGGCAATAGCCAGTAGAAAACTTTCACACTAATGAAAGATAAACAGGACTATTTTTGCTCAGGATGGACTTTAACTAAACTGTGGTTGCCATGGGATACCAAAAAAGCCACCGCATTTCAACTCAAAAGCTGCCTCTAATTGCACACTGTTTTTCCAGGCTTGGACTCCTAAAAGGTTCAAGTTTACATTGTCTAGCCTACCCTCGGAAGGCAAAGGACTTCACTAAGCAAGCGTTATAGAGAGCAGCCAATATTCAACAGCAGCACAGAGAGGCCCCTCCATAAGAAATACAAGAATGCAAGGGGGAAAGGAAAAAAAAAAGAAAAAAAGGGAAGAAAATGACACGCAAGGGGACATTACAGTGTCAATCCAACTTGTTCCCAGTCATATGTTCTCCTTTGTGACAACTCACCTTCACCCACTGGTCTGGTTTGATGTCTTTCAACACCAAAGTGAGCTCTGGTTTGTCCATCAGTATCTGCATTTTGGCACAGGTGGGGTCATCGCTTGTACAAATACTGATGGGGACCATCCACATGGGGAAGTCCTCCCCTAAAAGAAGAAACGAGAAAAAGGCAGGCCTGAGGGAAAAACGGATGCACACAGCTCTGAGGAACTCTGCCTGACGTTCAAACAAGCTTCAGGAGCGCTTTAAGCGGGGCTACTGAAATTTAAACCTAAAAAGGCACAAATCTGAAGGGAATCGGTGGTTCTAGAATTAAACCCCACGAATCGATAAATCACCTTTCAAGCCAAACATTTTCATTTCTATACGCACAGAAGATGGGTAGAATCTGTGATTTAAGACAGAGCTGGCTTCCACACGAGGCATTTTTGTTTCAGCACTACTATAAACCCGCCAGCTTGCAGAGCTCCTCAGGTGGCAGCACTGGCCTTAACTGGACGTCGGCGGAGGAGCAGCTTGGAATGGAAACTGCAGATGAATGCCGTTCTCCGTGCAAGGAGGACACGGAAACCACACGTGTGAGAGCGTTCAACCCCTGATTTTCTACAGATTTAACAAACAAACAAACACCTGAACCCGAGCAGGGCGCCTGCCTGCTCTGTGGTGCAGCTGTTCCATCTCTCAGAATTGCTGCCATCGCATGAAAAGCAACGAATGCTCCATTCCTGAAAAAATCATCTTACCGGTATATGGTCCGCTGGCACAGAATTTCTTCTGGACTAACTTCAACACTTTGTCATCTTCTTGCTGAGGAAAGAAAAAAAAAAAAAGAAGAAAGAGAGAAAGAAATGATGAGAACATCTCATCTCAGCTTCGGTATATCACAATACATTCACGTGCCCTCTGTTAAATGGAGTTACTTGTATTCTGCTCCAGAAAAAGCAGCTACCTCAGGAATCATTCCGATGCATGAATCGCTGTTAGTGTTAACACACACGTGCCCTATTTCTCGTTTGAATTTGTTGTCTGACTTCAGCTGCCAGCCAGTCACCCTGCAATCTTGTAGAATAAGCACAACTGAACAGGGTTGAGAAGCAAAACGTGCGGCAAGTGGAGCTAAGGCAGATATTCCCTCCCCCCGACACACAATTCCCACACAGAGGGCAAACGGGCTATGTCAGCAACCTCCAAGCACGTGATCTAGAGCGCTTGGGGAGTAACCCCACGCCACTCGCGCTAGGTTCCTCAAGTGAGCTGCGCTTCCCCTCCCTTCAGAAACAGACTTGTCACTAAACAGAGCACTTCCTCACTAAACAAAGCAACCTGCTGTACCGCCTCCTGATCAAAGAGAATTTTTAAAATAACTGGATGCTACTAAATTTGATCCTAAAAGTCATTTAAAGGCAGAACTTCTGATCCGATAGGCTGAAAACCACACAGTTATATTTACCTGTTCAGCTTCCACGTAAATGAGCGGAAATCCCATTTGTTTGGTCCATGTATTCATCACAGCAGCAATAGGTTTACCACTAGCTTTTTCCAGGCTGTCCCAGAGATCCTCTGCAGAAGAAAAGCCTGACTAAGGACTCCCAGAGTCTCGACATGTCAGACGTTACTAAGAACACTGTATGGGCACTGGAGGGCGGGAGGCTGTATTGTTACTCCAGGTGGCCCTTCACGTTTTGGGCTGTTTTTATCAACTTGTAACAGGTGATAGGCAAGAAAAAGGAAATCGTTTAAACCACTCATAGGGGCGAGAGGGGAGAAGGAAGCTGCTTTACTACTAAAAAAATGCAATCAGTACACACTGAAATGCACTATAATTTTTTTTAAAAAAGCATTAAATATTCAAAATGGTAACTAGAAGAATCGATTCCTGAAGTTTTTCATCTGTTATGCCAAAAGAGCCAACCGAACAACACGGACCGTTTCTGGCTGATAGAGCGCGATGTTCCACGTCCGCATTTATGCCTGATACACAAAAAACGCTTCAATAAAGAAAGGGCTGTGAGGTGTTAGACAAGACTTGGAACTGTTTAATCACACAAACAGTCAGTAACTGCAAAAGGAACCTTGCAAAAGGCTTACCTGGCAAATCAACACACTCTTATTTCTAAATTAGATTACTAAGCAGATGTGGTTATTAATGGTAAATGCGGCCCTTTCGGGTTACCTCAGCCACGTACTCCTGAGAGAGAGCCCCCCTAGAGCATGCTGAATTCTAGCTGTGCAGGGGACAGGGTATGAAACTGGAAAGAAGCCCATTATTTCCTTGCATTTCAGTTATCCCAGGTGGAAAACCAGCCATTTAAGGAACCACCACATTAGCACTGAAGAGTTTGTCTCCAGAAACCACTTTTCTTAAGCAAATAACAACCACCAGTTACCTGTAGCGGCGTTCTTCTGCTGGAACTTCGTTAAATACAAATTCATTCCTTTCCGAAAGTCCTGGGAACATACAATTGAATACATAATGGCACCAGAACGGAGGTCTTTCCCATCCTCCCTCTGTGCTGCATTTATAATCAAGAATCAGCCAAGGAATCCTAGGACCAGCATGTACATCTATAACTCCATCCGTATTTTCCCACTATCTTATTTCTCCCAGGTAAGTTCAAATAGAGCCCAAAGACAAATTGGAGAAAAGTTTTCAAAATGCAGAACACACAGATTTAATTGTTTTTTTAAAACAGTATTTTTAACTGTAAGAAGTTTTGGCAACCTACATTTGGCTTTTTAGCAACAATCTTTTTACCTCATCACCAATGTAGTCATGTAGCATTCGGATTACAGATGCTCCCTTGCTGTAAGAAATAGCATCGAATATTTCATCTACTTCGGAGGGATGGCCAACACTAACCTGCGGAAAACAGGATAATTAACAGCGAGAACTGTTTTAACTGCCATAAGATTTTGATTTTGCTCGTTCTAGTGTGCCAGGAGCTGACTTTTCTCACTGAAGCAAGCACGTGCACATCCATCCCTAGATTGTCTTAGTGGAACCTCTGCGCCCAGTCAATTAAACTTACATATGGCTGGGCTAGGATTGGTTTACATGTCAAACATACTTTAACTTAAACTTTGGTACTCAATCAAATAGACTTGGGGATCTTGCTTCAATCCTTTGGTTCAACACATACCCAAAAGCAAAAAAAAAAAGACAAAACCCAGGGGAAGTTAATTCTGGGACAGCGAACAACGCACGCTCAGGAAACGTGCCCACGAGCAAGTCCCTCCCGAATGACCTGTCGTACGAAGCAAGGTCATTTTCCAACATCGATTACAGCAAACATCTCTTAAGCATTCAGAAAACTTTCCATGGAGGTCTCTAGGAATTACAAGGGAGTTTTCTTTCAGCACGGCTCCCAGTTTCGCTGTAACTGAGCTCGCTGCTGCTGCCTCGCCTCCAAAGCGGCAAGCCCAGCCGGATCCTACTTATTTCAAGACCGTCTGCAACACACAGTGCTGGGGGTACGACGCAGAGACACCTAAGGTGGCCTCAGATGGAAACTGGCACAAGCCCAGCAAAGTTTGGTAGCCTGGGCTCTGGGCTACGCTGCTCTTTGGTTTATGGTGTTGAGCACTGGAGTAAGTCAGTAGCTGCTTCCCTGTGCTCAAGGGCCAGAAAACCACCCACTTGGATCCAAAACCAAACCAACCCACAAATAATGGTGAGTTTTGATCACAACTTTGCCCTTTCAGGTCAGTAGAGCAGAAAAACTCCAGAAGGAGCCATCAGACCCTCAAACCTCACTTCTGAAATACTGATTCAAGGAGAGGAAAATCCACAAGGTGGAAACGCAACCTGAGATTTTCCTTTGCATCACGAACGACTGCAGCGTTCCCTTTTTGATTAATACAAAAAAGGCTTACACACAGCTGGTTGTCTCCCAAGCAAAAAAAGAGAACTCACTTCAATAGGATGACTGTTGTCTAAGGCATCAAGCTCTTGAGCTCGTGTGTAATCAGCAGAAACAAACTGAGTCCAGATATCGTACTCTGGGAAACAGTGATCTACACATAGGTACTCAATCCAGGAGGCAAATCCTTCATTCAGCCAGAGATGGGTCCACCATTCCTGGGAAGATGAGAAGGCAGGATAAAGAACAAAATCCCAGCAGCTTCATTTAACCAACAATAAGTTTGCAGCAAAGATATGCTGATAACGGCCCAGTTTAGTACAAAGCAGAGAAACGGGTAACACTCGTAAGCACAAACTCCTCTCTATAAAGAAGTCATCGGCCCAAGAACAGCATCAGCACCCAGTAAGTGGCTTCCCCTTGTCTTAAGTTTGAGAAACTCTGCATGGAGGAGAACTGTGTCAGGTACAAATGCCCAGAGACTAGACTAGAGGTCAGAGCAGAGCCGCTGAGGGGACAGCATGAACGTCACCCAGATTAGGGAAAAGAGTCAGCGACACACCGGGGCGGTAAGGCAGCAGAACCGCGGGCAACACGACGGCAGCGTCTTTTCCAAAGCGAAGAGCAGCTGCTGCAGGAGGCTGGCTTGGGTTTGGGTTTTTTTTTTGCTGAAGAGCACCCTCACATAAAGGGGAAAACCTGGAATCTGAAGAAGCGTTCTCGTCTACGGAAACCCAAAACCTAGTAAAGAGTTAAAAGCTGTTTCTCACCAGCCAAAGGCGGGCTTTGGTTTTTTAAGGTCAGAATGTTACACTGACATTTTAAAATTCTTCCTTTCACTTCTAATATTTAACTGCAGCAGGAGAGGTAAGGAAACAAGCTACGGCTGCTGCGGAAGAAAACACCTTTTTCCATCACTGCACTTACCAGCCATGCTTCAAATGGAAATGGGGCAGTTAACTCAGCAGAGCGTGGCTGTGGTGACACGGGCCCTTAAGTAGAAGAAACTCACCGGCATGTAGAATCAGGCCAGCGCAAAGAACTACTGCTTCTACTCCGAATGAAACATTTACCCCAGGGAGGGTGGAATTTCGATAAGGAAAGCTGTTACTGAAACTCTACACAGATAAGCCCTGCTTTATTTTTAGAGCGGAGACTATCCAATTTTCTTTTGCATTTCTGATCACGTCTGTTTCCAAGACAAGGTTCCAATCCGTACAGATTGGTGCCAAAGGATTAATTAATGCAACTGCAAAGTAGATTCCTGGGCAATTAAGCTGGACTTCTAAATCTTTCTACCTCGCTGTGCTTCTCCCTTATCCCTCCGACAACGTAATTGCTCACGAATCTATTTCTTCCTCTGGAAGTATTGTCATTTCATTTATCTTTGCTACAGAAGAACTACTGGCATACTGTGCTGGCCACTGAGATCTGGTACTGGCAAACTAAACCAGGGATGCTACTGAGGCTTTCTGCACCTCAGATTAGCGAGGAGAAAAAAAAAAGACTTTCTGGAAGTCGAGAAGCAACACTGGACCGTCTTTTCATATTCCACAGAACATGAAATAAAAACCAAAGAGAAAAAATTCTCTAAGAACGTTTTTGGAAGACCTAGAACTTCAAAAGGAAAATAAAAAGCTAATTCAATATGAATTTTCGAGGTTCTTGTAAGTGATCCTTTCTCAAGCTTACTGCCACGGTCTCAACGGGCAGAAGGACCACAAATGGTTCGTGGGACACTAATGGTCTCTGAGACACTTACTGGCGTCCTACAGTGTTGTCTAGTCACGTGACGCTGGCTCTCCTTGCTTCCAGCTGCTCAAGTGTACTAAAAGCTAAAAATATACTACTTTAATATTACTTTTCCATTCAAATATTGTTTTGCTGTCACATGGAAGCTGCTCGTGCTACCACAAACAGGAATGGACACAGTTGACTAGATTTTAAGAGGCACGGCGCTGTAGAAGAGTGTGGCAAACTTTAGTGTTGTAATTAATATTTACACTGGGGTTTTTCCTCCATCCACTCACAATTTAAGCAGCCAAAAAGCCAGAACAATGCAGGTTTGGCGCTCCAGAAGCCACACTTTTTTTTAACAAACACACCAGTTTCTTACTGCAAGAAACTTCCCAACCTAGGAAATATTTGGATTCAAGCGTCTGTTTGCAGGGTTTTGGGAAAAGCAATGTCGGATCTAATTAACAGAGTAAGCTGAAGCCATTTGTTACCAGCAGAAGTTCTGACAGATACAGCTTTCAGCACTAAACGGAATTTATTTACGGATTTCAGTCTTGCTGCCTCCTGTATGTTTTTATTCCCATCAAAATGACTTAAATATCAAACCATTCAGGCAGCCGGCTCCCCATATAGCCGAAGTAATTTGTAGGAGTTACTACCAAGCAACTTTTCAGCTACTGGACTAGAACAATTTGCAATGCTGAGCTGGTACCGATGCGCCTGCTTGGTATGAAAGCCTGATGAGTGAATCACGCCTATCCGAAAGGAAAACAGTGGATTATTCCTTCTAAGTAATCTGACTAGCCCAAGTCATCTCCATGGAGCACCTGCTCAACTCTACCTAGGACTATATCCAAACAACTGAACATCACTTCACATAGGAAAGATCTAGGAATACTTCTAAAGAACACACGAGCAAAGAAGAAAGTGGTAACACAGCGCCATTTAAATATTTCCTTTTTTTCTTTTAAAGATAGCACGCCTGCTATTAAGGGGCACTTGAACACACAGACGATACAAAGCACATGGCAAAGAACATTAGAACTTGTAACGGTTAGATACCATGGTCACAAGGTTTCCAAACCACTGATGAGCAAGTTCGTGTCCTACAACCAGAGCAACCCACTGGCGAGATGAAGAACAGGAATTTTTGGGGTCAATGAGCAACGCAGTCTCCCTGTATTTAAGAGAGAAAGATAACTGAACAGGGTGGTATAAGCCTAGGGAAAAAACACAGTCAAAAGCAGGTTAAATTACCTAAGCAAGCTAAAAAGTGATCAGTATAACTGAAAAAATCCAAAAGCTACTTCAGTTTAGACATTAAATTATTTCGGTAAGTTCCAGAGCTGTTGGAATGCTTTGGAGCAGTAATTCCTTATGGCATGCAAGAAGACAAGTGCAAAAACCCAGGCAGGAACAAGAAAGTTTATCCTTTATTTATAAAACAGCTCACCTACATAATCTAGGAACCTTAACTGTACCTCCCTTGGCACTGCACGCTGTGTGCACAGCGAGTCTTCTCTGCCTCCCTCCTCCCCAAAGGAATTCCAGCTCTTCCAAGCGCACACCCAGCCGTGTCACACTCGCCGCCGCAGCCGCACAAGATGCTCCACGCAGGGCACACGTGCACGCACGCACACACACATCCCCCCCCACAACCTGCCCCTATAAACACCCCTGCCACGATCAGGACCGAGTGGGTCCCTCAGAAAGGATTTCTGGACTGCTGCCACCCCAAGGGGGAAAACGTGCATCTCAAAACAGAGATGGTGCCTGCAGATTATGCCAACCTTCTGTCCCCAAAGGGCTAAAGCAAGCGTGCCAAACTGAGCATTAAGGGGGGGGAAAAAAAATGAACAGCACAATTAAGAAAGGCTTCCAAAAATTCTACTCATCCAGGACAAATGTTTTGTTGTTGTTGTTTTTTTTTTCCACAGGGAGTAAAATATCAGATTTCGTCAGAATTGCGATAAGCAGACAAGGAGATTTTAAACCTGGCCTCAAATTTCCATTTCAATTTTTTAAGGCCAAATTAAACGTTTAGCAGAAGAAATTCAAACTATTTCAGGATTTAAAGTCCGAAGCTTACAAGACCAATGTCGTACAAAATGAAGGAAAATCATTCTAACAATGAGCACAGATAATGTAATAATATCAAGCAAAAGTACAAAAGCTTGATCAGATGAAGAAAAAAACCAAAACCCAAACTGAAAAGGAAGGCAAGTTAATGATAATTTTGATTTACTCATATCCACATGATTGTACTGTGGTTGCTAAATTTACCAACTTGCCTACAACATAAAAGAAGGAACTCTTCCAGCTGTGTCAGTCAGTACGTAACTTTTACAGGGAAAAAAGGGGCCAAGAAAGTTCTCCTGTAGAACAGACAGTGCTGCCAGACACTTAAAAATCTCACGCCCTTGGACAGTAGCTGTAATGGCTCATTCTTGCCTTCCTAAGGGCTGTACAATAACGCACGCTGCTGCAGAAGTCAAAAATCACCCAAACCGAAGCAAGAATTGAAGGTATTTACTCTGTCTTATTTGGGATGAAACCCAATAATTACAGGTCCCTACAACTAATCCAATTACTTCCAAGAATTAGTGAACAAAGAGGGGGAAAGACAGTATTTTAACAGCATACCTATAAGTAACAAGGCCCCAGTTCTCCATGGCACCTTTATAAAATAAATACAAAGGTTTATTGATATTGATACACACCTCTTCCTAAACGTTTAAAATTCAAATAAAATACAGTTCATCAATAAAGTGAGTTACTTTACCAGCAGCAAAGTCTGCAATAGCTATGAGATCAATTTTAGGAAGAGGGTAAGGAACATTGAAGTAGTCCTTATAAAAAGGCAGAGTTTTAGCAGCAACCTGTAAGAAACAAGAGGAGAAACGTTACCTTGGAACAATTAGGATAACTTCAAGTTGGGATTTTTTTTTTAATTTTTGAAAAAATTCATGACTGAAACAAGCCTAAGGAAGCAGCACACACAAGATTTCTTCTAGAAGCCCCACTCCCGGCTTCCAGAGCACAAGGGTTTGGAAGATTTCCCCTCCTTTTTCTCCCCGTCTGTATCCGACCCTTCGGTACTTCCCATCACCTTTGCACTAAAGTCTACATCATCAAATCAGAACGGAATTAAACCGCCTGTTTTCGTTAATATAGACATCAGTTTGTCCACAACTGAAATCCTGTTTGCTATCAAGCCCGTTAAAGCAGAAAAGCAGCCCCGGGAGCTCTGCAGGGATGCAGGTGCCTGAGGAGAGGATCACACCCCGTCCAGCCTGCCGGGAACGGCTGGCGCCGGGAAAAAAAAAAAAGGAACGGAGTCGCCCTGAGCGCATTTACCTCTAACGCAAACTTTCCTTGCTCCGCTTTGCCAACGGGAGTGTAAACACGCACTAAGACGCCGTCCAGGGACCGGGCCTCTACGAAGTCGTACTCTCCCACCACAAACGCTACGAGATACGTCGACATGACAGGGGTGCGAGCAAACTTCACTTCCACCAGGTTCTCATCATCTGGGTATGGCTTTCGGTCGATGACATTCTTTCAACATGAAAGGGACTCGGTTAGTTTCATGGAAGTGACACTCTGTCACACACTGCATTTGACTGACTAGTCCATCCTGAGGAGTCAGGCATTTAAGACAAACGCATTTCTTTTATGATTTTAAAAGACAGACCACAGCGTAGTTCCCCTCAGAACGCCCTATCACACACGGACGTGTACTTTTATAATATACAAGCGAATTTCCATCACTGCAAAGGCAGCTGAACACATCCGCTATCAGCTGCTGTCCTTCGGAGAGAGGATTACCCACATCCCCACAAGGCATCAGGCTTTCACTTTAAATTCTGAAACAGAAACCATCACCACGTGGTCAGCGGGCAAGGCCAGACTTTACGGGTAACTACGAAGTTAGCTACTGCAATAAAAAAAAAAAAAAAAAGTCTTTTTAAACTGACTTGCTCTTCTGCAGCAACATCATCGAGACATACGGGCGCTATATTTGAAGTAGCCACCTGAAAATGCCCACTTTATTCGCGACAGAGGTAGGTCTACTCGCACATTTTATCCCAGTTCTGGTCAGAAATTCTCTAGAGCAGAAACCACGTTTATTTATCTCAAGTGCTTATGGAGCTATAACAGCTACATAAACACACAAAGGTGGTGGGTTTTTTCCAGTCACTCTTAATCAAGAAGCACGTGGCTTGACATATGCTAAGACTTTTTTTTTTTTTCCTCTAAAGCAGCACCACGGCGGTTTGTACAACCTGTTTAGGTTTTGCACTAGCATCTGACATCACAATATCATCTTTTCAAAAGCTCTCTCAATTTCTGGCCGCTTAGTAATATCCCTAATTCTGTCTGTTACCGAGACACAGTATTAACTATCAAGTAACCAGCTGGCATTATTACAGTTTTACTTAAAACACTTTTTACTTGCACATCAAGAACTTACCATATTTGACAAAGCTACTCTGTCTTTAGGAACCACCAAAGAAATATCAAACGTTGCCTTAATAGCAGGCTCATCCCAGCAAGGGAAAGCTCGGCGAGCATCAGTAGCCTGAAGGAAAGAAAAGCATTAAACAAATCAATCACAAGAGATTGTGGCAATAAAACACACACAAGAATCCTGCCTATTTTACAGGCAAGAAGTCGGGTGAACGACAGGCAGTCATTGGTGTAGAGTCTTTTCATTGACACCCTCAACCTCTGCATTAGAGCATCTTAGACTTACTTATTTCACTCTTGGTTTAAATAAAAAAAAAAAAAGCATCTGAAAAGCATCTGAAAAGCACTCTGTGCTCTGGTGGAATTCTACAGTCTGAGCAAAATTTAGCAGAGTCATGACAGGAGCAAAGCTCAGTCATGTGAAAGCAGAGAGGGCACCCAGGCGTTCACAGACCGTACACACAAGACCACCTATTTATATTCCGTCAGCAGACTGCACCCAAGAAATGTTCTATTTGTACTGGGTAAGTACCCCACGTTTTTATGTAACCAGGCAGATCACTATGAAATTACAATATGGTGTAAAATTCTGTCATTATGTCCAGGGTTTACATAACACTTGAGACAGAATCTGGCTCACATTTTGGATGTCATTAAGACGCTGAGGTAAAGGCAGAGTGTCCTATTAAAAGAATTAATATACTTCATAAAGGGAAGTCTTACCGAGGTATTTGACCACCTCTAAGTAAGGAGTTGTTCTTAAACATTGCAGCTACCGCATATATATGATGCACCACACATCAGCACGATCCTTGGCTGGGGAATTTGCCAGATCCAGAATTTACTGACCTTGAAGTCACAACGTAAAGGCTGCTTTTAGCATTACCCATCCACACCAAGAGGAAGAAGCAAATAAATATGGATTTTTTTCAAATTTACCCAGAGGGCATAGCTAAAGCCAGGAAATCGTGTCTTTGCTTCTTCCAAGCACAAATCCCGTGTTACGAGTGACGTTCCCCGAAAACCAAACCCCAGCCCGTACCTCAAACTGAGTGACAGCAGCATAGCGTGTGTCTCCAGTAGGGGTGGTGTATTTACTTCGGTAAAAACCTTTCATTTTATCATTCAGCTCCCCTACAAAGTCTATCTTTAGCGTCCCTGTCCCTGTAACAGAAACAGATGGGACATTGTTATTCACATGCACCAAACAGAACATTTATTCCGTCCGGAGCTTCAGGCCGGGCCGCTCAGCTGGCCCCTGCCCTCCTGAAATAAGGTGGCCCGTCAGCTCCTCTCCACCCAGCGCTTTTTCGCCGGCCTCCCTCAGAGCCTTCGCTCTCCTTACACAAAACAAGCTCCAATGCAGGCGAAGCCAGACTCACCACAGCATTTTAGCATGGACTGGAGATCAGAGGCTGCTGCAGTGCGCGTTCTCATCTTCTAAACACAACCTACCTTAAGACATTCGAGAAGTCCAATCCTACAATTATTACTTTTTAGCAAAGTTTGCAAAAACATAGTATGGCTACTAAGTCATAAAAGCATCCTATGAAATCCACCACAAAAGCCAAGACGGAGCACTGGCTGCGTTGGAGCTTGTAAGTCAATTAGTTTCAGGATTTATTCTGCCCTCGATGTCTCAGTGTAAAAGGGGAAACCTGATCTTGATCGGAGAGGCAGCACGCCAATATCCCACAGAATGAAATGCTAAAGTTTTATCCCCCTAGAATCTTTATATTTGTATTTGTCAAGATGAAACAAAACTGCTTTATTCAAATTGAGGAGCCGAGTTTCAATCAACAAACTCCTCAAAGCAAAAAAACTGCAGCAGTTCCAAAAGGATTAGTACATTCACGCCTAGGAAAATATGGCAGTAATTCAGATTAGCCCATTCTCATTGAGAGGAAGACAGATCATCAGTAGCTTCTGAGCCTAACTCCCAAGAGCAGGTGAATAATTAGAGTCACCTCAGGTGTTGGAAGCAAACATCACCATTAGTGAAAAACCTTTTCAATTCCAGAGGCCCACAAAGCGACTTAAGAGTGGACAGGCTCCCTACGGAGCACTACGTTAGTTCAGTCAGACACTTCAGGGAAGACAGAGCTGTTCTACTCCAGCTTTTTTCAAGTGCAGAAAGCACGAAAATAGCTCTTACCTTTCTGGAGAGTACTGGGAAAGGAGAGAGTAACCTTTTCATCCTCATTTTGATAGTTGAACCCTGTGGCATGTACCTCTGAAACAGAAAAACAGACTACTTTGTTTGAAATAAGCCCCAGAGATGTTTCTGTAACTCACAAACATTTAAAATTAACTGACTCAGCTGAACGCAACAACATGCTGTCGTTACTGAACAAATCAATGAAGTCTTTGCACAACCCAGGACGATGTAAATGCAAGCAACCAAAGAAACGCCGCCCACTGTCAGAGTTCCACGTTATAATACCTTGCTTCAGACAAACAAATCTACCACACGTACATCAGACTACACAGCCCCAGACTCAAAGCACCACCTCCGTGCTCCTTCCACCTCTGCCATCCACCCTGTCCATCGGAACACCGTCCTCCTACACGGCAGGGAAGCCTCCTGCTGTGCCGGGTCCCGAAAGCTGCACGGTTAAGTCGTAAACTTGCAGTAAGAGCAGCACACTGCACCCGCCAGGAATGCAGGAACAGCTGCTACAATCCCGACAAACAGTAAAACACTGAACAAAACCTCCCCTCGATATCAAATGCTTACGTCAGCACAGCAGGATTCTTATTCATTATTCCAAACAGGACACTTATGATTCAGCTCAACATTGTGTTTTTCTGTGTGGTTAAAACCAAACAAAACCACCTTGCTGCAGATGTTAGTGTGCTTTTCAAAGCGAGATCCACAAATTAACGGAATTTTATTTGAAAATTGTCTTCAGAACCAGCGACCTGCCTTGGGAGTTTATGCACCGTCCAGCAAAGGCACCCAAAATCCACCAGGATTTTAAGCAGCACGGCACATAGCACCGGATCTATTTGCAGATGCAAACATCCAAACTATGAGGCCAAGCTGGATAGATGGGGGAGGGAATCGGCACACAGGAATTACACTGTCCTGCAGCTTAGGGGTAGCAGAGCCAAGAGGGAACACCTGGTGTTGCCTCTTCCTTCCCAATTCATCAAGTCCCACTTGCTGCATCCAAGGTGATGGACATCTACTCTCCTTCAACCAAAAAATATCTAAACCAGCTACGTAGGACCTCACTTCGCCAGTACCTATGTCACTCTAAACTCAACCGCTGCAATAACCAGCCGGCTTTAAGAAATGCAAACCTGCACCAAACCAACCGAGCAACGTTTTCTGCCCCATGTCAGCATCCTGAACTTCCAAACTTGGTAAGCCTGGACACACCGACACAGCTTTCCACGCAGACATACTGATGTATAATTCTTTATAACTACAATAAACGTCCAGCAGTTCTGTAGAGGTTTGAAAGAGATGGGAAGCGTACAGACCACTTTGAAGTAACAGCATTCCTAGTACGAGCTGCCTGTCCCATCCCACTTACATCACTGAAATCGAAGAGAAAACACACCCAGCACGTCGAAATGCTAGCAAGGGTCTAGCAACCTTTTCGGGTACTTTCAAAATTGACCTAGGAAGAAAGATTCAGTAAATAGCTCCAGTGAGCTACCAAAGTAGATGCTAGTTTTGAATGGTCACAGAATAAAGGACAAAAAGGAATACTGCAAAGTGCTGTGATACGTAAACATCCCAAAAGAAAAACGTACCACTGTATCCACCTCTTCATTACATGGAATTCTGAGTGACAAAGCTTGTCTGAAACAACAGTTTAATTTACGGAATGACCTGTATTCCACACTCAAGTATCACGACAAGAATCCAGGTATTTGGTTTCAGAGGCAGCCTAAGCACACTCACAAGACATTCGGCTAAGTTGTTCCATATGTGACAAAAGTAACTGGAAACATGTTTTTATTTCTATAAAATTTAAAGTGCTATTTATTCTGGAATAGTATGATTTCAGCTTTAAGTCAGAGTTAATACCAACCTCTGCTCACAGAGACGATAAATGCAGAAACTGCATGAATGCATTAGTCTTAACTACTGGTTTCACAGTGCTCTGCTCAGTGTTTAATCAGAGTTAACCACCACGGTAGGGTACCTAATACATAAATGCTTACAATAAAACAATTCCAGCTGTAAATATATATATATACACACATATATACATATATATACACACACACAGAGTACAGAAACAAATTCAAGAAAAAGAAATTCTTTACAGGATCGAGAAGAAGAACTTTAGACTACCAGTCTGTACTGTGGTGTTCCAAGATTTTGAAAATCAACTGCAAGAGGGATGAGATAGACCATTTAAACAGCACACACGCCAAGGACATCAAAATGCCAGGAAGCGCTGGGCAATGAGCAACAAAAAGTAAAGGTTTAACTTTTCTTTGTATGACCGGGGAAGAGCGAGGCAGAAAAGGAGACACTGTAAGAGCTGCAGAGGAGATAGTCAGAGGAACAACGCTCACATACAACATCCTAGTCTGAAAATGGGCTTCCCAGCAACAGAGCGTGGAGCTGACTGCTGACTCCATCGTTCAGATCCAGGGAATTTTGACCCCAGCTATCTTTAGAGTCCAACAGACAGCAACCCTGTTGTTCTGCGATGGCATGTTAGTGACCTCGGTCAGGGGGGGAGGATGGGCTTGAATACCTGTCGGAAATTTATGTGAGCCTGCCTGGGAGGAATCCCGCTGCTGGACAACCTGCAGATGCTGAGCTGTCAGCCTGTGGTCAGAGGCTAAACGAAAACCTGAGAAACGCCTGATAAAGATCAGCACAAGAATGCAGAAACACCTCCCCCCCTGCAGTGTGTTTTAGAATGACCACAGCAAACCAAAAACATTTTTATCTTTTTACAACTTCTAATGGAAACAATCTGATACCGAAGACAAACAATACCATGACTTCAGGATCATGGTTCTAACCTACTGAAACTGAGAAATACAGAAGAATGCGTGTTATGCAGATCTTCTGCCAAAAGTCGACAATGAGTATCAAGTTTCCCCCTCCTCCTCTCCCAAATGTGAAGCCTTCCTAAGTGTATTTGAGTTCGTAGCTCCACTACTTTATAACCTCTCTAACCTGTACTAGGAAAGCCATAAGCAAACGTTACCAGTGCTAGAAGGTGCTGAAGACCTTCAGGGCTTTTTTTTTTCCCCCCTGCAACAGCCTGGGAAAGCACTGCAGAAAGCAACCTTCTTTGTTTGAAAGAACTTCTCAATCTTAATTTTAGAGGGTTAGATCCCACTTACCCTAAGGTTAGAAACACTGTTTACACAAGTTACAGTTTAAAGAGGCTGGAAGCAGCCATCTCCTGAGTGATGCTGTGCACTCCCCGCACATACTGATCACAATCTCCACCAAAGGAGGCCAAGAGAGTCTCCTGATGGCCCAGGACTGCCCTGCTTGCCATGACAACTAGCCTCTGAGGCACACTCAAAAGCAATGGCAAGAGTACCTCTCGAATGGAAGGTAACACTCATTTACAGTTTCACAAGAGGAGAACTCATCGAGGAGTTGGTGTTTAGAAGTGTCTGTCTTTCCATGCTCAATTTTCTGTAACTCTCAAATCTCTATCAATTTCTGAAACTGCAGAATGTAAATGAAAGATTCAAAGTTACTTCTTTTTTTCTTTTTTTTAAACTATTCAGTGCCGATAATTTAATCCAGAGCAAAGGAACCATGGAAAACCATCAACAATACTTTTTGTTAAGAGTTTAAGAGGACTGCTTATAACAAAGATGTAATTGCAGTAAAAGGCTGTCTGAATTCCTAACAGTGCTGAATACAAAAGCTCCTGAAGAGAACAACACAATTTTGGCAGCCTACTAACTTTGGAGAGTTTGGCACTGCAAGGTTGCAAGTTAATCACTAGCACATTAGTACACAGTCTGGACCAAGTCGCATGAGAAAATAAAAAGCTGCTAGTGCTCCATGTCTTTGGAAAAAACGCATAAAAATCCCATCTAGCAACCTTCCCAAACTCGGAGCACTACATATCAAATTTTACAATAGCATTTTAAATAAATCACAGTGCTTCTACAGAGTCCTCCCTGAAATCGCCCAGTAACCACATGGGTACATCAATTAACGATCCCAATTTCTGTACTACATGCTTATAAACGTGGATCCTGGCCAAAGGTTTTAAGCAGTGTCAAATGGGCATGTATTTCACGGCGAAGACAAAGCCAAGTGCAAGAGATGGAATTTTTTCAAGTAGCCCTCATTCCATGGCATGGAGAAGTCACAGGCAATTAAGGTATGGTGGCTTAATGAACTCGCGTTCATCAACTGAGCTGCAGCGACTGCGTGCACTCTGCCTCCTCCCTCTGCAAATTAAACGCGTTAGCCTAAGCCACCGACGTGTCGACACAGCGTACACCGTCCTCCTCCAGCACCAGCCACTGAGCCACGCCGATGCGGTTCCCGAGAACCCTAACGCTTTCGAGCCCTTCCACATCTTTTCACGTGTTTCAAACCAGGAGTCATAAAAATCCTTCAAGGAGTCAGAAGTATTCTCGCCCATCAGACATCCCCACACTGGCCGTGCCAACACAGCCCAGGCCTCCTTAAGAATCCCTACCATTACAAATGCCGTCACATCGAGTCCTCTCCAGGAGAAAGGATGAAGATGAGCTTTTCCATAACAATGAAAGGTTTCACAACCGGCTTAAACAACTCTAGTCTGCCGCGGGCAGAGACCGTTGTCTCATTTTTCCCACCTGGCCCCAGCTGCATGTTCCCATTCCCTTCCTTCCTTCCACTGGCACTCGCACACAATCATCAGGATCAGGAAGATGATCTGTCTCCAAGTTGCCAGTGCAGTTTCCTGATCCACACGGCGGATCCACGAGCAGCAGGACGAAGGTGAACGCCAACAGAAGGGAGGGAGCGAGGACAAGCGCCGCGGCCCCTTCCCGCAGCAGCATGATCTCAGGCTGCCTTGTCATCGTCATGAAACGGCAGCGCTCCCAGGCCAAGGGACAGCACTGCTTAGATGCCCTTGGGTCACACTGCCCAGCCTTCCATAAGCACCAGTGAGCTTTCGTTGGTGGTTTCAAACATCAGCTGAGGCTCTGGTGTAACCAGCATCTAGCACTAGCATCCATGTCCCTACCATACTAGGAAGGAAAAGACTAAAGTAATGAGTTCTGGCCTCAAAATCTCTTAAAGGTTGAAGTACAAATCAAAGTTCACTGGATTATTTCTGCTAAACAAACATCACAACGGCTGCTTGTAACCTTCTATGTGAAATTGCCAACTACTACACTCCAAGCACCTCCAAATTTAAGAAGCTGCTTTAGATCCCCCAGCACATGGAAAGCTTTCCCATTTAAAGACAATGTAATTCACTGATGATGATTCCATCACAATTTTACAGCTTCTTAAAAAGAGAGATTCACAGGAAGCTCAAACTACTGAGTAAGTATGAAACTCAATCCCCTAAAACTTAAGAGCCAACTTGCTTAGGAATGCCTTTCAGTTCTTCGTTTAGCCGAGCAAAGTCAACCATTGGGCAAAGGTGATTCAACACATACACACCCCTGAACACTAAACATTTCACTACAAGCGCTAAAAAGTAGCTTCTGGAAAAAACAAACACACTTGCTCGATATGATTAGTGGCAGGAGCCACTCAGCAACCGAAAACTCAGTCTTTTCAGCAGTTTTGTTCCATGACAGCATACCTGGCACAAACAGCAAATCCACAACCTCCAGTTACAATCACTACACTGGTTTTATGATGAAACAGAGAACTTTTCTACTCCAAAGTATCACATAATCAATCTCTCCTATCATTATGACTCAGTTGTGGATTACGCAGCAAAATTTTTTACTTTGACTTTAAAGCTTCAGCGATCCTCCCTCAGCTTCCTGTCAAATATTGGGCAATAATCTGATTTCACTGCAAATCTGTATTAAAATTCCAAAGACCAAGTTCTTTCTACTTTCTTCTGTATCCATCTTTAGAAGAGTGAATAGGAGGGGAGAGAAAACACGGCCCACAGATCTAGCTACGATTTCTGATGTTGTACAAGCCACAGCGCAGCGGGCACTCGAGACTAACACGAGTTCTTAGGAGAAGAATAAACTCTCCTGCACAAAAGTCAACAGACCACTTCCATAAACCAGGGAAAGGTGTCTGTTGGACAAGAAGGTCTCTCTCTCACACAGCTACTTCTCGGAACAGAACCACACTTGAAAGAAGATAAGTGACCGATTATCTTTTGTCTCACATTTACAGACAAGCGCGAGACAAATTCTTCTCCCCTGAGGTATGGAACTAAAAAGAGGTAACGATTCCCCACCGGAGCCTTTAAAGGAGGAAACGTCACTAACTTCTCACTCCTTTTCAAACGTACTACACAGGCAGTTGGTACGAGGCTCACCTACATCACCAGATCCAAATGATCTGGCTGATACTTCTGTCGGTTCATTGGACTATATTTCGTACTCTGGTTTTGAGACCAGTTATACAATTACCATCCAAAAGCTGTGCACAATAGAAGCATTAGTAAGACTGACTTGATCTGTATCAACAGGTGCCAGCAAATAGTCTGCCAATTTCATGCAATTTTACTTCCAAAGCCATTACACTAGTTGGCAGTTCACCAAACTGAAAGATATGGTTTAACCCCGTGGAGCCCGAGTATAATTGGAGTAAACAGGCAACAAAGCTGCACCTCAAATATTTATGATTCAGCAGTTGGAGAGGCGAGTGCCTCTAACCTAGCCAGCGCACTGGACTCTGTGGGTCCAGAGTACCACGTTCAAGGCTATCTGAAAAATTAGAATGAAGGAATTTAAGCCACAGGATTTACTTGGGTTTAAGCCTCCGTTAAGCTCTACTATGAATACTTTGAAGTTACAAGGAGAGCGTATCGCTGTTAAAGAATAGAAAAATAGAGGGGAAAAACCAGCTCTGAAAACAACAAAGATCATACATTAAAACAGAGATCCTCTCTGTTCCACGTCTTTTTCCTGATTTGACTGGAAAGAGACTTTATTCCTCGGTGCCTTTTCCATTCATTTTCATTTTCTCCATGACAAAATAAAAAATTAATAGGTGGTTTGGGCCTATGGCACAGTGGTAGGTGGAACAGACTCCACACACGCTCTGCTATTACTACCACGGGCGTTATCACCTCATTGCTCAGTGCAGGAGCTCCGGGAGAGCTCGGCAGCACAGCCTGCCCCCCAAGCCCAGCTCAGCGCCGGCAGGAACGGAGCGCCAGGGCCCAGCCCGGGAGCCCGACCCAGGCCCGGAGGAAGCAGCGCTCTATTCTTTCGCTATCGACACTCGGTGGCCGGACTCCAAGCTCTTTGGTCATCCTCTTCTCTGCCGCCCTCTCTCGCCGCGACGGCCCTTCCTGCAGAGCTCTGCTTCTCCACCGCAGCCCCACCCCGCGCTGCCTCCCTAGGACAGTTCCCCATCCACCCAAGCACCGCCTGGCTGCTACGACTGCGCTTTTAAGCCCTCCGGTTTCTTTAATACTACATTAAGAACTTAAAAAGTCAAACCAATTTACATGCAAAGACTCACTGCAGACACTCCGCTTGCCACAGACAAATCTATTGGCCACAGGACAATGTCACTGCAACAAGAACTGAAATTGTCCAAATCTAGCCCAGAAAATTAAGATTTCTTTTCTTCTTTAGGCGTTCGGACAACCACAGTCCTTCTCTCCAGCACCCTTCAGCTGCTGCATAAGCATACCAGGGAGGGTTAAACCTAATCAGAGGAACACCCTTCTCCTATCCATCATCAAGAGGAGATTCCTTTAATTCACAATCATGGTTTTAACAAAGTGCTTCATGACATCATTGTGGCATTTTCCTTACAGAGAGCGAAGCTCCGCAGACCCTTTTGGCTTCTGAATGCCTTAAACACAGCGGACCAAACAGCTACTGTGCTTGAAACAGCAAAGGCTCCCTAAGAAAACCAGAAGGGCTTTGCACGCTGTTAGACGGTCTCTGTTTCAAGGAGCTTATTTTCCACACTTCAATCATTTCACGCTTCAATTGCTAAAACTTTTCTTGTTTCTGCTAAATCCGCTCACAATGAAATCGGAGAAGACATCAACGACTGTAACTGTGTGTTTCAAACAGGTACCGCTTCTCCGATTTCTCCAGTAGCTTCCAGCCTTTCACTGAACCAGATCCCAGTCATCGTCTCCTCCACACAATCACCTTTTTCCATGTTGCCCTACACTCAGAACATCCTGCTAACTGTCAGTTAAGGGTCTTCTGTACTTTTTCAAATCCTTCCCAAGGAGTATTTCCTACTGCAGGCCGTTATTGATGCATTCTCTACCTAAGCCCTCGCCACAGATTTTGTCAATATTGCCAAGTCCACAGGTACAGACCTTGTTCTTACACAGTTACCCGGTATAAAGAGCAATAATGATGTAAAAAACAGTCAAACATCCTTTTGCCCACAACACTCAGGCGTGATGGAGTAGAACATAGATGTCACGGAAGCCTGAGGTACCGTTTTTGAACATAATGGTGGCGATGAGAAGAGAACGAACGTTAGATAATTCATTTTGTGCTTCTGGGGGTAGGTTAGCTTATCAAACTGTTACGTAAGATTGCAATCAAAGTTGTTAACTGTTGGCAAAGCACCTCGGGTCAGAAATGAAATGGATTAACACGGAAAAACTCCAGCAAAAAAGCAATCCTACCTTCGTCTCCTTGTGGCGCATAGGAAGCTGTAATAATGTCAATGTCAGCACAGTTCATCACAATTTGGTTGGTTGCCTGTTTCACCTGGAAGAGAAATTTTATGAGCATCAGGAAGAAATGGTGTTCCCTGCTCGCTTGAGCTCCCTTAGGTAGGCATTCCCACCTCCCTTTAATCTAAAAACCCCTCCATCATCGAGTGTTTGAAATAAAATTTAGCGCTCAAGAGTGGTAAAAGAGAAAAAAGCTATTCCAGTGACTGCTCTCATTTGTTCCGGAACATGCGCACTTGAATCACGTTCAAGCCATCTAGGCCTACTTATCAGCACTGTAAATTATTTAAGGGAATGAACTGCCTGTTAAAAATTGGTATGAAAGCTTGACAATAGGGCCCTTGTACATGCCTGGGAATCCAAGACCAATAAAAATAGACAGAGAGCCTGTAAGCTTCCTTTTAGAAGCGACCTACAGAAGACTATAGTGAAAGCCTTTGAACACAAACTTACATCTTTTGGAAATGATCGGAAAAACAACCTACGGGACTGTGTTCTCAACTGTCGATGCTATAAGAACTTCTTAGGGTAAAAACATCTGCCAAGAAATTCGCCTTTACATTTTCCTGAAAGCCTTCCTTCTGCCAGCTCTTGGCTACACACACTTTGCTTTATTTAACAAGTGGCCAGCTCCCAGCGTAGTAATAAACTGTCTCGCCGTGCCAGCTTTCTATTTGGATGCAAGAGCTTGAATGCAGAGGAATTCAAATTAAATATCAATTAATTACAAAGGGGTAAAATATTTGGGAATTAAACTAGGAATTATTTAGAAACTTATGGCTGAAACCACTGGAATCATCACACTGGATGGAGCTGGTAATCCTGCTAGTCCAGGATACAAGTCCTAGCAGTAGACAACGCCAGGTCTTCAAATAAAGGAGCAAGAATTTCTGCAACAGCCAACTAGGACAAAGGAACTGCTTCCTACCCCAAGGAGTAAGTTCCTTAAAGCATAAGAACTTACATCCCTTTCTTGGGTTTTCACTATTATAACCTTAAAATGCCCTACTAACACCAGTACCCATCACTCTACCCATATCTTCAACACAGCAGAAACCACCTGGACCTCTCTGTGATGGAAACTGGTTCCCAGGAAGCAAGAGCTCCTTCGTCCCTGCAGCCAAACCAGCGAAGCGCTCTGCAACGCGCGCGCCAGCTCTCGCCGATCAACCACCTGAGCCCACGCGCCTTCGTGACAAGGAACGCCGAAAGAATAAGCTGAAGTGTCACAGCTGAAGCTGACACTTATCGCTGCCGCGGAGGAGCTGGTACCTACACGGGACGAGTAAACGGAAGCAGATCCTCAGGCCTAAGCTGCTCTACCTGGGCTCACTGAAAGAATGTTCCTTAGTCATTGTGTACATAAAAGGCAAATTAAAGTCTAGTCAGTGATAAGGAAGGCTCAAGAAACGTAAGTGTGTAACTCATGAGGTGTACCCACACCATAAGAATGGTCCATCCACTCTAATAATCTGTTAACCAAAGGGCTAATACGAGATAATCCAAGGAAAGCCAACCCCCCACAGCCGATGGGTAACGCAAGCCAAACCTAACTCAGAAGTTTCTTTCTAACCTCAGTCACCAACTGCACTTCTGAAGAAATGTCTACGGCTTATTCCTGTCAACAGACTTGTTTGTTTAATAAATTTTACGTAAGGGCTTACACTTTTTGACAGGCGTGACTACTAGTGACCCTCTCCGAATCCTGCTCGTCGGTCACCCTGCAGCGGTGTGCCGCGCAGAGCAGCGCAGAGGACCTGTGGTGTTTCCACCGCGTTGCCTCTTTATGGTAATAAAACCAAAACAATGTTACCTAATAAAACCTAACCTGAACCTCAAACCAACACGCTTCCAAAGCATAAAGTGAGAAAATGCAACAGCTGAAGTGACACAGGTTAGAGTTGATGCTTCTAGTAAAGATTTACAATGCAAAATCATTTTTGGTTTTGTTTTTGTTTTTTCAATTTGGTGCGCATGAAACTGAAGGATTACAACACTTCCCAAAACCCAAGATCAAAGCCCAACAATTTTCATCACAATATTAGGGTTTGGGGTTTTTCAAGGTCTTCTAAAATGCAGAAAAATCAGAATGAGAAAGCTTTTTAAAGTGTCCAGTAGAGACCTTTATTCAATCTACAAATCCAAATCTCTCTGGATTAAGAATTCAAGACGCATAAAGAGCTGTCCAAATTGCAGACAATACTGGGTTTAACAATAGGCTTGATCTCTTAAAAAAAAAAAAAAAGTCTTCTGAGGACAGAAGCATTTTCAGTGCAGCACTGCGCCTGCAAAATAAGAAAGTTCAGGTTTCAGCAGAGACAACTTCAGAGGCTCCTTCGAAAGACAATTACTTATTTTTAGATTTTTTTTCTTACCTCCTACAAATCAAGCCAGTTTTACAAAAGAGTGCGACGTACCAGAAAACATTTAAAGGGACTGAGTGAACCGGTAGTCTAAAAAATATTTACCCTCCAACTCCCAAAAAAACCAAGGGCAAAATTCGGCAGGCAGCTACGGCGTACCGCACGGCACGCTTCCGAGGCTCTCCCAACTTAACTCCATGGGGAAAAAAAAGTTTTCACGTTGGCACAACAGGCTCTAGCACGAGAGCCTCCTCCCTCTGATCCACTAAAAATAACGACGGGCAGGCACACCTGTAAGAACAAAACTATAAACTGCCCAGCACACTGCACTTAGGGGCCCTTTATCTCCCAAGAACCTACAGCCCAGTGCTGACGGACACCACGTGCACCGTGAAGATGAATGAGTGTGTTTTACTGTGAGGGATAGCAGAAATGTAAGAGTGGTTTCAAGGTAATACTGTGTTTTGGAAGACCGATATTCTGCTCATGCAGTGCTTTTCAAGAACGCAGTCGTATTAAAAGGCAAAAAAGCGTTTCACTGCGTAAGGTATAACCAACTACAAAGCTGTACACGTGCAAACTGTCACCCTGCTTTACCTCGCTCTATAATATAATAAATTTACTCTTCAACAAGAGGCAGCTAACCCAGGCAAGAGCAAGGTGCAAATGCCCTCAGCGAAAGTAGAGTTCACCATAAGGCTGACGTGGTTAAAAGCAGCAGATGAGCCAAGAGGAACATCTGGAATGAAGGAATGTTTCAAAACTTTAAACCTTTTCGCTTTTGGTGAAACTCTAGTAACATTAATTGGAATTCAAACACCTAGTGGGATGAGCCAGACCCAGATACCACGAGCAGGTCTGCCCTGCAATAAAACCACAGACCTTTAAGACGTTTTAACCGTGTCAGTAACCTGCCCTTAAACTGAGATGACACACACTTCCCAACCCCCTACACATCCACATTCGTGCTCAGCACTTCTTTCTGGGAAGGAAAATCTCACCCAGCAGAAGACAACAGCTTAAATTCCTCATGAAAAGTTTTCCAAGGTAGCATCACCTGAAGAAGAGCTAAAAAAGGCTAATTCCTTGGCTCTGCCAAACAGGAGTCAAAGGTGCTGTAAAGCTTTTGATTTTCACCGGTTATCAGAGCGGGAAAGGACTTGATGGAAAAGCCTTTTTAGGACATTAGAAACAAGAATTTGAATGGCTTCAGTAGAACCTGAAAAACAGGGTGAGGTACACCGAAAGACATCTTCTGTAGTTGAAACTAGCTCTCTAGAGCCATTCATACGGCGAGATAATTAAAATCTTGTCACTCGGCTTCAGAGTCCTTTTCTAAATGTAGCATTGTAACAAGCATGTATGTTTTTAGCATTTTACTCCCTAAAAATAGACAACTAAAATTACCTCAGCTGCGTTCTAGGAGGGATCTTTTCAAGAATTTCAAACTTCAACGAGAAACGGAATAAAGAGTTCTATCAACCTGCATCTCGAGCAAATGATGGTAGCCGGGTCGTAAAATCACCAATGCCACGACTAACCGGCCCACTGGAAAATTCACTTCATTCCAAAGAGCAGCAGCTACACTCCTCTGCAGCAGTCACACATACTTCAGAAGTGTCAAATTCACACAGACAAGTAAATCCCTTTGTAACTATGATCAATGTAATCATCTTAGCCTTATGAATTACAGAACTCCAAGAGGCCTTTTGGCGGGGGGGAAAGAGCAAAGGCATTCCTGTTCTTAAAGCCGATGGCATAAGGGTATGCAGAGCCCCGAGGTTCTGACTCTGAAGCACCAGATTTGAACACTCCGCGTGGTGCCTTTGATGCTCAAATTCAGATTGAATTTCATGTGCTGGAAACATAAGTTATAACGATGGTATATTTATACTGGGCAACTTTCCCCCCCAAAAAAAGGTACTGAGCACAAATACTACACCTACTAAGCTTAATTTTTCAAGGTTTACATACAAGAGCGTCACAATTAATCTTTAACTGGCACGCAGCAGGCCCAGAAGACTACACACTCCTTAGCCTAGTAGATAATGCATAATTAACCTACAAAAACCAACAGATACAGGTTAAACATTGCCAAATACAAGAGTATCCTTAAGGTATATTGAAGGGACTGCGAAAGGTATCGAAGAGAGCCATCTACCTCAGGTTGTAAATTCTCTACAGCAAAGGTAGGCGGCTTTGCAACCAAGAAACACCGCGCTGCAGTTTGCAATGAAAGAACCGAATCTCCACTCCACACTCGCCAAAAAGGGCTGTTTACACAGAGGTAGGTACCAGGGAGGCGGAAGACAACCGTGCACCTTCCCGGAGCTCTGCACCGCTACACCTGCGCCGGAGAGGTGACCGTCCGGAGCTGTGACAGCGCGAAGAGCTTCCATACAGAAGCTCAGAACAACCATCGAAGTTCAGGAGCCAGCTGTTTGTTTCTCTTGTGAGTTACTCATGTTTGCCTTTTCAGCACGATGCTGAAGAACAGAACGGCCACACATCCCCTCTTTGTTCCAGCCCTCCGTTAGGCCTCCCAGGAGTCAAAAGCAGAATGGAAAAAAGTTGACCTAGACACTGAGTAATACGAGTGTGCTGCGCTGATAACTGAACCCTGAGAATCAGGGTTATAACAATTAAATCTCCAGCTAACAGACGAATAAAGTAGATGAACCACTTCCACTGAAAA